GTCACGTGTAAATTTGTTGAACTCTATAATGAAGAACTTTACGATCTCCTCAGTACCTCACAACAGAAACTAACAATCCGAAGCGACTCAAAGGTACTTTTAGAGGCCTTATAGCTTTTTTGTCGCCATTTCATTCCTTCATTTTGAGGTTGTTCAACTAGTCGGTGTCTCCTGAGCATCCTGCATATTCGAGCTCTGACCTGATGCGGGTACGTTGAGGGTTGCACAAGACATTTTAGCATCATTGAAAGTGCATTGCGAGAAAAGGGATGGGCGGAGACTCACAACTATTGGCTTTCCGCGTTGGTGCGCTCCTCCCTTCTGATACGGTGGGAGAAGGAAGCGTCAGCGAGAAGGACCCAATGCAGTCCCTGCCCACCCCACTATTTCAGAATATTCCTCTAATGCAATTAAACCTTATTATCTCTTTAGTAACAACCACCAATCCTTCACCTGTTTCTTCTCTCTGAAGTCTAGACATTTGTAGATCCTGGAAATGGGATGGGAGGCTAGACGTACAGCGGAAACTGCGATGAATCGGGAGTCATCACGTTCGCATGCCATGTTCATCATAGATGTAGGTTTTGTTTGCAATTCGGCTTGGGGGCGGGGTGGAGGGGGGGCACTCTGCACCAATGTCGTGTTAATTGCTTTACAACGGTTGACAGATGGTCTCTACGACACGAACTTGACAGGTACCACTTCACGACTTCTCAAGATTCCACAGATATCTATTTATTAGCTGGATCAGTGATGGGAAATAGTGAAAAAATGATCCCCCCCCCAAGCCGAACGCAGATTTTTGTTTTTCCTTTATGCATTGCAGGTCTGTTTTCATGACGTCAATAAGTCTCCCATTCACAGGTCAAAACAGAGGAAATGGTAAATACTCTCTTAAATAAGAAATGCGCCACATTGAATCTCGTCGATCTTGCGGGATCGGAAAGGCAAACACAAGCGAAAACTGTGGGCGATCGATTCAAGGAAGCAATCAATATCAACTTGGTAAGCATGTTCACACATTGTGGGTGTAGCTCGGCACATCCGAGCCGCGGCGAGGGCGGCGAAAAAGGGGTCATTCCTTGTCGGGACCCATCTCATTCAGTGTGGCAAACCGCAGCGTGCCAAGTTCGGAGGGTTGGGGAATATCTTGCTTGTTTGCCCGCGATGATTTGCCTTGGATATCAGGAACTATTCCGAGTGTTCCAATTAAAGACACAGTCCACGCTGATGGTATGGGCGGAGACATCCCACCATAGTGTCTTCCTCACTGGCGCGGCCTTGCCAAGATGGTAATAAAGCTGTGGGGGGCACGACGGCTGGGTGTCTCCCTCCATGCATCAGCATGGACTATATTTTCGAGGCCGAAGCAATAGGTCCATTCAATCTGCGTATTGTCAGTTAGCTAACACTCTCTCAAAATGAAGATGTAGAAACTACTTCTAGGAGTCGTCTTTTTTTAGTCTCTCACTGTCCTCGGTCGCGTTATTCGGAAATTATCTGCAGCGAAACGCCGTGATGAACACGCTCCATATCGAGAATCAAAATTAACCCACATCCTTCGCGATTCACTTGGAGGAAACAGCAAAACAGCTGTCATAGTAAATGTACATCCTGATGTGGAGTGAGTTTGGCATTCATCATTATTAGCCTACCTCATTTCTAATTGTTAGCACACTTATTTGTTAACCTACCTCATTCTGACTAGTTCGTCAAAAATAAATCAATACAAATTTTCGCTTGAAGTCCTTCCGCGCTCGTCGCATGGGCGGGGACATAGGACATCTCACTGTAGCGTCCTTTTTCTGCCATTTGAGAAGGAGGGACGGGGCGCAGCGATGGGCACTACACCATAGCGCTTGACTTCATTCAAGTGAATAAAAAAGTTCCCTCGATTTTAGTACTGGTTCAACTACTTCAAGATGTATAACTGACAATTGTAGGTACTGCTCTGAAACCTTGTCTACGCTACAGTTTGCTGCTGCTTGTGGTAAAATTGAAAATCGAGTGCATGCAAATGAAGATCTATCTGGAGATACTGTAATGGCATACAAAGATGAAATTACTCGCCTGCGTGAGGAATTGAAAGCGATTGAAGAAAGAATCCGTTCAGGTACACTCTTGTATGCTGGGGCATTTCCTGAGGGCTTCGTTTAGCGCCAGCTTTTTCTCCACCGACAGATGAAAGGGGCTGGCGACATCAAAAACGGTGGAAGATGGACTGACACCGTGACAAATGCACCCCCCTCCCCTCACACGCCACAGCATCCGCAGCCAACAAGACTACATTGTTGCATTTACTAGCGCGATGGTTGTGTCACTGATTTGCTGTCACTGTTTGATACCTAATTAATCTCTAGAATCGCGAATATAAGTTGGATACACTAGTGGTAAGTATACCAAGCAGTGAAACGCCTCACTTCTTTCTTACTCAAAATCTAGTGGAATCGTGTGCTGCCCCACCCAGCTCTTGTATTCTGTGATAGCGTTCCAGTAGGACTTTACCTTGCACTAAAGCGCGACAATAGTTCTGAAGTCTGGCGCGGCAGCTTTTGATTGCCTTCGTTTATTGCCCTTTCTAAGAAGTGCGTGGCTATCATCTCGCTCATTTAATGTGTTTTAGAAATGACTGCGAAGCTAACTTCACTAGAAGAAGAAGTGGAGGTATGGAAAAGAGCTGCTATTGCTCGTGAGAAGGAGGTTGTCGAATCTCAGCTGCGATGCAGCTGGTTATCTGCCCAATTGACAAAGGGATCTTTGAAATCAATGACAAGAAGGTAGCAGTATATGTAAAATTTGGTATGTTCCACTAAATAATTCGCTCATAGGCGTGTGGAGACGCAACGCGTGCCATCGTATCTGAGCTTTCGAAAAGGATCGAGTTTATCAAGACG